CTCTCTCCCTTTCCCTCCCACCTCTCATCCCTGTTTAATGTTAATCTTTTCCTCATGCTCTTCCTCCCTGTTCTGTTCTTAGTTGCCCTCCTTATATCAAAGAAGACATTTGGCATTTGTTTTTTAGGGATTGGCTAGCTTCACTTGGCATAATCTGCTCTAGTGCCATCCATTTCCCTGCAAATGCCATGAAAAAAAACCTATGTGTTAAACAAGTGCCTCATAATGGGAAAATAATTAAGAGGTAAGGTAAGATCTAAATTTTCCAGGCAGTATTCAAATGATTTGGTAAGGTGGAGGGCAATCTAGATGAAATACTGCATTAGTTTATATAGGTATTCACCTATATTCTTGACATATAATATATATATATATATATATATATACACACACACACACACACACACACACACACATATATAATATATATGGCATATATATAAAGCATATATATGTATGTACATATATATGCTTTTATTAGGAATGAGGCATAGTTCATGTAGAAGTATATATAAGTATATAGACTGTCTTAGTTGGCAAGAAATTACATTTGGTGTGATTTACTACTATCTTTAAATATTAAAATAGATCTTGAAAGTTACCATGACATATTAAGTAGAAAAAAATTTTCTCTTTTTTATATTCTAGATACCAGAATCATTTCCCTTTCTCATCTTGAAATGACCTGGGCTAACAGAAGGAATTTTCCTGCCTTGCTTGTGAGGATCTTGCATAAATCAAAACTACGATACTATGGAAAACCTGATAAAAAGATGATCGAACCTTACCAGGTACAAGTAATGACAAGATAATATATATGAATCTACATTTATAGATTATAACTTATATAGCTGACTCTAGTAAGATAAAATACTATTTTAAATAATATTCCAAAGTTTCAATTATATATATATATATATATATATATATATATATATATGCATTGCAGAGTATTTTTCTTTGTAATTTATAGTAAGACAGAAATTCTTGGGGGCTGGGGATATAGCTCAGTAGTACAGCACTTGCCTAACATTTGTGGGGCATGAGTTCAATCCCCAGCGTTATAAAAAATAAAAAAGAAAATAAATTCTTTCTATATTGGTGCTCTTTAGTTCCTTCATACATACAGCTGAGCTCCTTCACATCTTTTTCTTTGTCTCAAAATTTTTCTTCTCTACTGTGTTTTTCATACCACCATATAAACATACCGTAGTATCACGTTTAAAAAATATAAAGAGAAAAAAATCTCCCTTGATCTTATGGCTTCTCTATACCCTCTTTTTTCTTCAAGCAAGGTTCTTAAAGTAGTAGTCTACACTGGGTGTTTTCACTTGCTGGCCTCCCCTTTACTTCTCAACACAATTACATTAGCTAAATCCCAAAAAAACAAAGGTCACATGTTCTTTTTGATGATATGTGGATGCTAACACACAACAAGGGGAGGGAGAGAGGGGAAGAATAGAAGTTCAGTGGATTAGACAAAGGAGAATGAAGGGAAGGGAGGGGGATAGGAATAGAACAACAGTGGAATGAATCGGACATAACTTTCCTATGTACATACATGAATACACCACAGTGAATCTCAATATTGTGTACATCCACAAGACTGGAATCTTAATTAGAATAGGATGTACTCCATGTTTGTATAAATATGTCAGAATTAGCTCTACTGTCAAGTGTAAATAAAAAAAGAACAAATAAAAAATAATAAAGTTACTGTAACTAAAAGTGGTAGCTAGGTAATAGCCTTTCCCTGACAGCTCAATGCATGGGTTACGGTAAAACAATTATATGGTGCCATACAAATCCAGTTTGTCCAAGTATTTAAAATTTCTATTTTGTGGATTTAAGATTTTCAATATATTGTTGAATATGTGAGTGGATGGGGTGATATGCCCTGAAGAAGCCAAGGTAATTCTATCAGTAAAGCAATGCTATGTTTAAATAAGAAGAATCTAAACACCCATAAAGTCCCCATTTAGAAAAACATGGGTTGTTGGCAGTTCTGGTGTGTCTCACTGATATCATGTTACTTCTGTATACAGAGATGGTAAGAGTTCTGTGATTCTTTTGTTCCTAATAATTTCACCATGTATTTCTCAAGAGTCCTTGTTTTGCTTGATTGTATTTCTTTTGAATACAATATGGTAACGTATTGTTACCATTGTTATTCCATTAGGATTATGTTAAATGTTTTTGTTTCTTTCTTTTTTTAACCATTTCTTTGCCTCCGTCTGTTGAACATATGTTGCTGTGCTGCTGTCTGGGGCTCTGTTGTACCCAATTTATTCACTCATTGAACTGCTATGGAACCTGAATTGTTTCAAGTTTGTCTTTTCATGGTGTTGACAGTATCATTTTTATTTGTCTCTAAATATAAATGTTTTATAAATATTTTACATATGGTGGGGTAAGTGGATTATATGTAATACGTGAATTCAAATTTATTAGTAAATGTCAATGAAATGTAAAAACAAAACAAAAGAAAACAAATACTTTTTACTATAACAGATTTCTCTATTTTAACTATACTGCCTTTTTCTGCTCCAATAAGTTTTCACATAGTAACTCACAAATAATTCCCATGTAATTTATAGTAAAGCCTCAAATACCAGTCTAAATAAATTAATATAATCAGAACATTGTGTCCAATTAGTGACATGTCTGAAGTTCTATAATATAAATATCAAGGCCCTTTCACAGTTTAAATAATCAAGAATTGTATCAAGATCTTCATTTTAAATTTCCAAGTTTGGGTGGTCTGATTCATTTGCAAAGATATTAGGTGGTTACTACGTTTAAGGCACTGTGTTAAAAATTATGAGAGAACCAAATATAAATAAGATTTAGACTATGCTTCATAGTTCACAATCAAAGAGTGAGTTAATAGCACATCTGTGACTTCCAAGCCTCTTATAGTAATCTCTCCTGTAGATTACCATTATTAGCAGAGTTGGCAACAGAATCATTAATAATAAAGAATTAAAATCTTAATATTATTTTCCATAGGTCTAAGTTTTCACAGACAATATGCTATATATCATCCATATGAATAACAATAAATAAATTATTTATTTATATATATATATATATATACATATGCTTTTGCTTTTTTTTTTTCCTAGACCTTTTTGGAAGTTGCTGACAGTTCAGGCACGGTGTCAGTGATTATGTGGAATGCCCTATGTCCTGAGTGGTATAAAAGTTTGCGTGTTGGTTTAGTTCTTCTACTTCAAGATTATTCTGTTAAAAAGAGCTATCCATTCAGAATGCAGCCTCTCCCTGTGGATCCACAGATCAAACTAATTTCTACAATGGGTTAAGTATTCAATCAGTTTATTGTATTATGGTTATTTTGCTTATAAAAAATTTGCAAAGTATCATATCAGGCAAAGGACCATAAAAACACTGAAGTTGTTAGAATCTAACAAATTTTCAAATTCCTTTATCTATTTGGTTTTTTGTTGTGTTTTCTTTTGGGGGGCAGTACCGGGAATTGAACTCAGGGGCACTCAAACACTGAGCCATATCCCCAGCCCTATTTTGTATTTTATTTAGAGACAGTGTCTCACTGAGTTGTTTAGCACCTCACTCTTGCTGAGACTGGCTTTGAATTTGTGATCCTCCTGCCTCAGCCTCCCAAGTTGCTGGGATTACAGGCGTGCACCACTGTGCCCTTCTCCTTTAGTCTATTAAATTTTGTTTTTGTTATATAATATTAAGTTAATAACTTGAATATATTTAAAAGTTACTACTAGGTGTTATCTTCAAAGGGCTATTGTTAAGTTTTTATTTTGTGATTATTTCAAGTTCAAAGAATAGTATAAAGAACTTATATTCCCTTAACCCACATTAAACAATTGTTAATATTAAGCAATTGTTTACCTTTGCTTTAACATTCTCTCTTTACATTATATATTTCCCTATGAACTATTTGAAAGCCTATCACTAGTATTTCAGTGTATATTTCTGAAGAAAAAGAACACTTTATTAAATAATCACAATACAGTTACAAAAATCAGGAAATTTTAAATTGATACAGTATTTCTAATATTTAGTCAATGTTCAGATTTTGCCAATTGCAATCTTTAAAGGGCTTTTCAAATTAGTATTGATATCAAATTTTTGATATCTAAAAATCTTAAATATTTTAGAAGCATTAGAATTAATGTAATTTTTTTGTACCAGTACTTAAAAATTTAACCACATCCCAGTCCATTTTATGTTTTATTTTGAGACAGGATATCTCTAAGTTGCTTATGGCCTCACTAAGTTGCTGAAACTGGCTTTGAACTTGGAAGTCCTCCTACCTCAGCCTCCTTAGCTACTGGGATTATAGGCTTGTGCCACGCACCCAGCCTCGAATTAATAATTTAAATGATTACTTTTAGATTTGGATGTAATTTTTAGTTTCCTTTTTCAGAATTATAGATAGCATCCCTCAATAAGATTTTTATCTTATAATAGTTTTATTCTGAATCTTTATTTCTGTATAATATCTATTCTTCAGCTAATCCATTAAAATTAATTACCAAGATTATTGCTCAGGTAATTATAGCAATTATTCATTGTTTTCTTAAATGTGTGTTTATTTGGAAAACCTCATATGATTTTATTTCAGGGTACCAGGGATTGAACTCAGGGGCACTTGACCACTGAGCCACATCTCCAGCCCTTTCTTATATATACATATATATTTTTATTTAGAGAAAGGGTCTCACTGAGTTGCTTATTGCCTTGCTGTTGCTGAGGCTGACTTTGATCTCATGATCCTCCTGCCTCAGCCTCCCGAGCTGCTGGGATTACAGGCATGTGCCACCTGATTTTTATTTAAAATTTAAGTATTTTTCAAACATTGGCCTGTCTTACTAAATGAAGAAGTTATTACCTACATAATTTATGCTTAGTCCTTTGACTAATTAGAATTTACTATAGAAAGATAAGAAATTAAATTGATAGAAATATTGTGATTTACTTGAGAAAATATAGTAAAAGTGAGCAAGAGGAAGCTAATTCACAGCATGATTTTTTTTTCTAGTACTAGGGATTGAACCCAGAGGCACTGTACCACTGAGCTACAATCCCAGTCCTTTTATATTTTATTTTGAGACAGGGTCTCACTAAGTAGCTTAGGGTCTCATCAAATTGCTGACAGTAGCCTTGAATTTGTAATCCTCCTGCCTCGACCTCCCAAATCAGTGCTGTAATTCGGAGCTGGCACCACCACACCCAGCTCCAAATACACATTATTATATTACACAACCATGCATATCCAGGTGACAAAATTCCTTTAGTAAGGATTGAGACATTATTCCTATAGTAAGGATTGAGACCTAGGGCATACTCCAGTTACTGCATCCTCCACCCATGCCCCACATGATTAGTTTTAAAACCCAGTTATTCCACTCACATTGTTAATTTATTGAATATATTAATTCACTGATTGGGTTACAGTTTTCATAATTTAAATTTCAGCTCCGAATTACAGCATTAACATATGAGATTGGGGGACATCTTATATTCAAACCAAACAAAATATTTTTAAAACATGCCTTTTAGTGTTTAAAAGAGTTTTACTGCTTATTAATGTTAGTCATTAATTTTCTCCCATATTTTCTTGATAAGTAACAGAGTTCCTTCTCTATCAGGGGTCAACAAACTGTTTCTGTAAAGTTTCAGATAATACATTAAACATTGCAAGCTATATGGTCTCCATTGCAGCTACTCAGCTTTACCTTTGTAGAGTGAAGACAAACATATATGATATATAAGCATATGAACATTACTGTGTTGTAATAAAACCTTATTTACAAAAAAAGCCACCTGTAATCTGTAGTTTACATAGCCTACATATATAAGTAGATCTGAACTTTGGCTATAAGTTTGAATTGCTTGGGGAGCTTTGAAGAACCATTAGCACTCCCAATTGATTTAATTATTCTAAGAAGGAGACTAAGGCTCCTCAGTAACCAGGCACAGTGGTGTACAGTGGTGCCTGTAATCTCAGGTCTTTGGGAAGCCGAGGCAAGAAGATCACAAGTTCAAGGTGAGTCTGGACAATTAGTGTAACCCTGTCTCAAAATAAAAAATAAAAAGGCTGGTGGTGTAGCTCTGTGACAGAGTGCTTGCCTAACATGCATGAGGCCCTGGGTTCAATTCCTAATAACAGAAAAAATTAAAAAATAAAAATATAAATATGAAAAATGAAACCCATAGCTGATTATAATAATACATCTAGGGTTGAGAACTATGAATTTATGATCTTTAAAAATTACCTATCTCAAACTGATGAATGATCTTATAGAGGGGGAAAAAAGGCATTTCTGTAAACCACACTAGGCACAGGAGGTAAAAAGTAATCTGTAGTTCTATCCTTCAAAATTAGTTAATGGGGGACAGTTATGTACAATAAACAAATTAAAGTACAAAGAAACATTAATGACAATAAACAGATAAAGATGTGATAGACAAGAAGAGAAGAAATGAATGAAACGTAATAGAAGAAGGAATGGGCAAATGAGTAGAATAGATTGGGTAGGAGAAACTGTAAGCAAAAGTTAGGAAAAATACATGGTTGTTTAAATGTTATGAGCAATGTGAATGAGAAATAGTATGCAATCAGGGTAGTGTTGGTTAGTAGGGAATAGGGGACTTAGGTACCATCACAATCTTCTAGGTTTTTATATTATAAAACAAACTATTATGGTAATTTATCTTAGCTTATTTTTCATATTTATACATTTAGCACTAAGTTAGAGAAACTATGATGTAATTTTTTATTTTCAGTTGTAAATGGACACAATGCCTTTATTTTATTTATTCTTCTTTTTATATGGTGCTGAGGATTGAACCCAGTGCCTGTAACTTGCTAAACAAGCACTATACCAATGAGCTACAACCCCAGCCCATGGTGTAACTGTTTTAAAAGTTGAAATAAATGAAAACATATAAAAATGAAAATTCTATTGCAAAATAATTTATTTGCTGGTTGTGGCATTGTATTTTTTATACAGTATTCTGTCTGTCTTTTATAAAATAATATTCAGATGGCATACCCAATAATAAACTATTTAAGATCTTGGGATTTCCAAACTATATTGAATAATAGATATTGAGATGATAGTATCAAATATTTTTGGTTTGGGGGAGGAGGTTATTTATTTAATTAGGAATCCTAGCATTTTAGAGCTGTGAGGAAACTTGAATGTAATCTAGTAAGAATATGAGTATAAAAAGCAACTTTGTAAAATGCAAACTATTTTCTAGGTACAAGGTGATATTATGTAATACAAGCTTTATTTGCTTCTGTATGAATAGATTGAATATCATAAAGGTAAAATGAATTTTTCTAATCACATGGCTAGAAATAGAAATCAGGTTCTTCATCCTGTTAATTGTTTCCAACATAGCAAATTCTTAGAAAAATGTAATTAGTTGAGATAAATAAGAATTAGAAAGCCCAAATGGCTTTATAACTATTAAATTAATTGAAACATATTAAAAGTCTTCTCACAAGGAAAATATCAGGTACATCATTTCATGGAGACAGTCTACCACATTCAAGGAATATATCCTTCCAAACAATTCCAGAGAATAAACTGAGTTCATACTTTCGAACTCATTCGTTAACACCAATATACCTATAATAATCAAAACTGAACAAGAATAGTGTGAAACCAGAAAATTATAGGCCAGCTTCAGCCATGAACACATATAAAAATATTTTGAATAGAATATTATCAAACTCAATTTGTTTGTTTATAGAAAAATCATGCAATGTGACCAAGTTATATTTTTCCCAACAGTTGATTTTACATATGAAAATCTGTATCACCTATCACATTAACAGATTGAAAATAATTATTATCCTAAGAGATACACAAAAGGCATTTTAAAACCATTCTTCATTTTAAATAGGAAAATAGAGGGCTGGGGTTGTGGCTTAGGTAGAGTGCTTGCCTAGCATGCATGAGGTATTGGGTTTGATCCTCATCACCACATAAAAATAAAAATAAAGATAAAAAATAGAAAATAGAAAGAGAAGGGAACCATTCTTAACCTGACAAAGGGTATTTACAATATCAAAACAAAACAGCAAACACCGTTATAATGGGACAAGTTTACAATACTCCTTTATAAAATAAGAAAATAAAAATTGATGGAAAGGATGTAGAGAAAAAAGAACTCCAATACACTGTTGAAGGGAATGTAAATTAGTTCAGCCATATGGAAAACAGGATGGAGATTATTCATAAAGCTAAAGATTAAACTACCATATGATTCAGCTATACCATTCCTAAGTATATATCTGAAGGAAATGAAGTCTGTCCTCACACGAGATCTCTCACATACATGTTTATCAAGACACTATTCACAATAGCTAAGATATGGAATCAGCCTAGTTGCCCATCAATGGATGAATGAATTACAAAAATTATGGTGTATATATGCAATGGAGTATTATTTCGCCAAAAAATGAAATCTTGTCATTTGTAGGAAAATGGATGGAACTAGAGGACATCATGTTAAGGGAAATAAGCCAGACATAGAAAGACAATTATTGCATATTCTGTCTCATAAGTACAAACTAAAAAGTAGAAGGGGAAGGGGAAGGGGAAGAATGGGAAGAAAAAAGAAAAGAAAAAAAGTCAATCTCCAAGTAGACTAGTGATTACTAGGGACTGGGTAGGGGAAGAAGTGAGGGTGGAAAAGGGTGAATGGTTTGATCAATGCATGCTGTATGCATGTATGGAAATATCACTATGAATCCCTTTAATGTGTAAAATTAATATTTTAATAAAATTTTAATGAAGAGCATATATACTTCCCATTAATGTTTCTATTTAACCAATTAAGTCCCAAATTTTCAATTCTGTGAATATTTTAGCAAAATTGACACAGGTGTGTTAAATAACTTGGAAATAACAATATAAAGCTTATGTATTATAATATTAATATTATACTATAATATAATGTAATTATCATCATTGTATGATTAATTATGTGATATATAATAATCATATAGTATATATAATTATATACCATATACTATATTTAAGTTTTTATAGAGTTCTACACCTGGAATGATGGGACAAAATTGGTTAATGTTGCACTGGCAGTCCTAGCCAGTGTTAGAAGACAAAAATGCATTATAGATACAAAGATTTAGGGACTGGTGTTGTGGCTCAGCAGTAGCACCCTCGTCTAGCATATGCGAAGCACTGGGTTTGATCCTGAGCACCACATAAAAATAAGTAAATAAAATAAAGATATTGTGTACAACTACAACTTAAAATATTTTTTAAAAATATATAAGGATTTAAAAACTACAAAACACTCATTATTTACAAGTTAAAAGTATTTCTGCACAGAAAATCCAAAGTGTTAAAAATAATAATATATTTTCAAGTTTAGCTATAGCATAACTTTACAAGTCAACTAATTTTGTAAATTTCACTACTAAAGAGTTAGAAGTTATAATTTAGAAAGTATTATTTATGGTGTCAACAATTTTATGGTATAAGGTATCTAAAAATAAATCTAGCAGAAGATATGTAAAACCTCTTTGGAGATGATTATTAGAGATTATTGAAAGACATTAAGAAAGCCCTATATAAATGAAGAAGTGTCCCATATTCACAGGTAGGAGGTCATCCTCCATTTCATCAGTATTTAAAGTCCTCCCAAATTGATCTATATAGCTTTAAAGTTATTCCATCAGGGTTTTTTTTCTAGAACTAACAAACTGATTCTAAAATTCATGTAGATGCACATTAACTGCCAAGAATAGTCAAAACACTTCTGAAGAATAGGGGAATAAAGAGAGTGAGGACTTGTCCTATAAATATCAATAATTATAAAGCCATAGTGTTTAAAATAATGTGGTATTGGTAAAAAAAAATATATGGACAAATTGACCAGTGTGTCCAAATATGGAGCCAACATAAAGCCCTATGCATAGAATTTTTATGTAGATGTGTCATATAGAGCATCAAGGAAAGAGGCACTTTTCATCCCATTATATAAATCAATCCAGGTATAGAAAATGCTTAAATGTGAAAGGCTAAACTTTTAAAACTTAACAGGAGAATTTATAGAAAGTAACCTGGAGTTTGATCTTGGGATGAGAAAGGATTTCTTAGAGAAGATATAAGAAGTAGTAACATTAAAAATATTAATAACCATAACTGCATTAAAAGTGTGATATGCAGCCATTAAAAGAATGATATGCAGCCATTAAAAGAATGATATGCAGCCATTAAAAGACACCATAAAAAGAATTAAAAAAAAAACAAGTAACAAAATGGGTGTAAGCTCAAGATCAGCAGAATTAATAACCAATATATAAACAATTACAAACAGAAAAAGGTAATATAACATAAAAAATGACAAAATACACAGCCATTTTAAAAAGAGGATGCATAGGTGAACTGTAAGTATATTAAATATTGTTCAAAATAATTAATATAACGGAAGTGCAGACCAGTATCACAACAAACTGTTACATTACCAGGTTTACAATAAGTAAGAAATTTGGCTCTAACAAAATTTGGAGAGAATGTGTATCAGTAGGAATTTACATATTGCTACTGTAAGTATGTTCATTACTTAAAATAATTTGGGCTTATCCTGTAGAGTTGAATATTTACACATAATACAACTCAGGGATTTCAATTCTAGGGGTACTAACTTAGAATCTCTTGCCTGTGTGCACAGGAAGATATATAAAAGTATGTATAACAACCTTGTTTGTAATAAGAAAAACATGGAAATAATCCAGGTTATCTATCAACACAGTAATGGCTAGATAAATTATAGTATTTTATCACACCAGAACATTATTCAGCCATGGAAATTTTTTAAATCCCAATTACATATAGCTACATGTATAAACTTTAGTGATATAATGTTAAGTGAAATATAACCCCAGAATACTACGTTCAAAAGCAAAGCCAAGCAGTATTTTGTTTAGGCAAAAAGTCATAAGAGAAAACTTTTCTTAACTTAAGGAAATTATCAAAAACAAAGATATGGTTAAGCTTTGGTGGGAAGATAAGTGAATGTTTAATGGAGGTGGAAGAAACCATTAATACTGGTCTACTTTTCTAGTTGTCAGATCAAAAGTGCGTAGTCTATGTTTTTGTTGTGTAATTTATACATATACATATTCTTTAGTATATATTAAATATTAAAGTAATATATTTGCTTTTCAGAAATCTGCCTCAATCTTCGAGATCCTCCAACTAATATAATTATAATTCCAGAAAAGCAGGTGAAACCAGAATGGAGATTGCCAAAATTAAACCACAGATTTATCACAAGGTAAAACAGTTTCTTGTAAAATGTCTTCAATATTAATTTTCGAACATTAGATACTGAAAAGTAATTCAACATAATTTGCTTAAAATCTATCTAGAATTTGCTTTAGCAATTATGAACATATACATTTTCATAGGCATTACTATACGATGTTTTTTTACTATTTAAATATATAATATCTATTTAATAATTTTGATTTTTTTAGATCAGAACTGGATGATATGCCAGAAAATCATATCTGTGATGTTATTGGCATGTTAGCTTTTGTAGGAAGGGTGCAACGGTCAAAAAAGAAAGGTAAGCATTAAATTTGAAAATGATAAAAAGTATTTCAGTCTTGTTTTCAAATGCATAAATCAGCATTTATTTTTAATATTCTATCCATATAGAAAACCGTGAAGACTTTTGGTCATATCGCTGGATTCACATTGCTGATGGAACATCAGAGCAACCGTTTATAGTGGAACTGTTTTCTACATCTCAGCCAGAAATCTTTGAAAATATTTACCCAAGTACTCAATTCTTAATATTTTTATCTTTTTATTTTGGGAAATGAGAGTTTGCTTTTCAAATAGTATAATAAGCTGACATACAGAAGTGACATGATATTGAGTTAGCAATCTCAAGCAGTCCAACAGCATATTTACATCTTTTCTATATTAATATCATATTTAATGTTATACATATTAATTACCTGTTGCTTGTCTATTCAAAATTATATTAGAATTGAAATAAGATTTTCAGAGAATCCAGTGCTCTTGTCCATTTTCATTGTTAGAATTTCACACATAAAAAATATAATTTCTTTTGTATCCATTTGGAAATTGACTAAATAGACCCATTAAAAAATCAAAGACTTGCCAGGCATGTTGTCATACACCTATAATTGCAGTGGCGTTGGGGGCTGAGGCAGGAGGATCATGAGTTCAAAACCAGACTTAGTATAAGCAATGAGCTAAGCAACTCAGTGAGACCTTATCTCTAAATAAAATATAAAATAGGGGTGGGGATGTGGCTTAGTGGCTGAGTATCCCTGAGTTCAATCCCTGGTATACCCCACCCCACCAAAAAAATCAAAGACTTTACCAATGTGACATTAATTGGTAAATGATTTGCAGACTATGTAATTAAATAGTGATAATGACAAGTATGATTCATTTGAGTATTAAATTTATATTAGGTTGGTGGTATTATACCAGCTGGTCAGTATTTTGCTTACTTTGGCATTGACTTTTTCCCAGTGTGTTCATTCAGATGTAAAGGTATCATTCCCCTAGTTTTATTGATTTGAAAATATTTTAGATACATAGGCTATTCTTTATATTTATCATTGTAAAAAGTACATTTAATACTTTTAATCAATTTTAATGAGATTTTTCTTATTTGAATTCAGACTATTTTAGATATTGCATACTGTTTTGTTATTTTTACTTGCCAACACTGAGGAAGTCTCCAATATTTACTGTTTATTATTTTTTAATCCAGTAATGAGATTGAAGTTGTAGATCCCTATGTCACCTACAGACCATATACAGTACTGTTTTGCTGCCCTTTTGTTCTCTATGCAATATAGTATTTCACATCTGCTTCATAAGAGTCTATCCTTGGCTTATGAAATACATTTTTAAATATATTTGAATACAATTGAATCTCACTCTAATTTATCAGGGATGAAACAAAAAGCGAGTTTGGGCCATATCAAGGAAATTGACTTCCATGGTCAGAATTCTATGATCTCTCATGTAACTTCTTTGGAGGGCAAAAATGATTGGCACTGATGACCTCTTGTGATAATTCCATTACCTCATTTTAGGTGGGCTTTATACTCAAGTACTCTCTGTTTGTAGCCACTTTAAGCAAGTAGCTGACATGAGTTTTGGGTAAAGCTCACAGAAAGTTTGTCAAGCAAACATGTTCTATTTTTTAATGATAATGTGAAATACCTCTTTCTAAGAAAGGTATTATAGACCTTGGTGAAATTTATTCTAGTACAACAATTATAATTCATTTTTGCCAATGAACCAAGAATGAAGAGAAAAAAATCATTAAATGAACGGTGTGAGTATTAAGTGTGCTTTAGCTTGTTCAGGGAAGCATGGCCAAGGGTCTTCTGGAAGAATACCAAAATCCTTTGATAGAACTACAGGTTTTTTGTTTTGTTTCACTGTCAGGAAGGTAAAGAACTAAGGGGAGCTAATTATGTGTGTTTATTATGTACTAGATGCTTAAAGCTACTATCTCATTTTTTGTTCCCAGTTACCTTTTAGAATGTTGATTTTATAACAGATTTCAGGTGGGAAAGCAAAGATCCAGAGGGATTAAGTTATTTTCTGGATTTCAAATCACTAGAAATCATTAGATTTTTAATGGCTGTAAGTTAGAATTAGAGACTTCTTTATTTTTTAATGTCAGGTTTTTTTTGTGGAAATAATGCAACCTTAGATCTAGTCTTCTAGCAGATTTTTAGAGGTGTCTTTAGTATGGATATGTTAGCATCTTTTGCCATTAATATTCATATGTTTCTAGTTTTTGAAATAAAGAAAAATTATATAAATTAGTATCATTCTTAGCATTTAAACAGATTTCCTTTTTGTTACAGAATAAAGAACTTATAGAAGAGATATAGCAAATGAAATTATAGTTATGCTATTGAAAATTTTTTATCTTAAAAAGAAACCACTTTGTGTAATAACTCAAACTTACACTTATTTCTTCATTTTCTATTTTGTAAGATAACTCTTTTGACATATGATAAGTTAAATAATGTTGTATTTATGAAATTTTTTAGTCTCAAGGCATGCAAACTCATTCAGGAATTCTTTGTAGCCTATCCAATAGGGTAGAAGAAGAAAAAAAAGACAGGTGATATAAAACCATCATTGAGCCTTGAAGTCTAATTAAGATAAATACATGAGAAATACAAAACGCTCACATAAGCAAATACAAATAATCTATAGCCATATATTGTAAAAGGAGTTGGAGTAATTTGGGGTTTTGTGTTAAATTGAGTTAGTTAATCAGTGAAAGGATCATGGAGAAAATTTTTTCTCTGTAGGAAATAACTATTCATTCTCAGTTGTTTGCCCAATTAGAATGATTCTCACACTCTTCATCTTTGCAACAGGCAAATGACTTTCATTACATGCTGCTCCATGTGTGGTGAGAAGACCATTATCACCAATATCACCTAGGAGCTTATTAGAAATGCAGAATATCAGGTCCCCTTCTAGATCTACCGAATCTGAATTTGTTTTTTCACAATAGTCCTCTGTGATCCCTGTGTTCTTTAAAGTTTGAGAAACTGTATGTGAGCTCCTCATCTTGGTATGTACTCTTTGAAATGCAAAATTAATTTCATAAGTGTTTTCATTTTCTACAGTGACATATTTTGTGTGTACACAGTTGAAAGTTGTCAGAAATGACACTCAAGTACCTAAACTTCTTTACCTCACTACTACAAATGAGAGCCGAGTGTTTATTACTGGTAAGTAAATTCTTTGTATATTCTTTACTAGAAATGTAACATATTTTCTTTACCAGAACCTTTAGTATAGGGTTTTATTTTATTTTGGTTGTAACATTCAACTACAAGTTAGCTTTATTTTAACCTCCATTATCACTATAAACATACTTTAACAAAGACTATTTGGCCTTTGAAGTATATTGCTTCTAGATTACTTCTGATTGAAGAAGTGATTTTGTGACTCATTAGAAATTTGTGTTTTTTGTACTTTGGTTGACTTTAACTTCTGCTTGACATAAAATGTAGATAATCCCAAATTGCTTGCTGTATTGAAGACTGGTAGGCCCAGTACCACAATGTAGATTCAGTTGACATTATTTTTAAATCATACTCAATAAAAAAATGTGTGTCAATTTTTGACCCAAGATCTCACATTTTATTTATATTAAGAAGAATCTCACTGCTTTTGTATAAGTGGGACTTCCAGATCTGTGGGTTTCATACTCAAAATCCAACAAAGCATGAATCAAAAATATTTGAAAAAAAAATTATCTGTACTGAACACGTACAGAGTTTTTTTCTTGTTATTAATCCCTAAGCAATATAGTAATTTACATAGCATTTACACTCTATTAAATATTATAAGTAATCTAGCAATGATTTAAAATATATGAAAGGTTTACATGAGTTACATGCAAATAAATAGATTTTATACAAAAAACTTTAGAATACACAAGTTTGATTATCTGCAGGAGTCTTGGAACCAATTCCCACAGATATTGAGGGACAACTGTACATTCTTTTTCTCAAAAACAAGTAAGATAAAAGTTTCCAAATCAGAGAATAGTGTGGAATGGAATTTTTACCAGAATTCTACAATGTTGGTAATTTATGAATATGTCAAAGAAAAGTTCCAGGAAAGACTTAACATATATTTTAGTCAATACCTTATTTTATAAATACAAACAATATCAGATGCAAATATGCCACTTTTAAGTATGTTTTAAGAACATGAATTTAAATGGTAAACTGTTTTTAATACACGGTTTAGTTTTGGGATGATCTTATACATTCAGATTAATAAGGGATCTAAAAATCAGGTTTTTTCAGAAGATGCCAACCATTTGAATAGTTAGAAAAAGTTTATTATTTTTTCCTTTTCCTGTGGTTTTTAGCATCTTGTAGACAATTGCAGTTCAGTCTATTTAAACTCTAATGTGTCTTATTTTCTTGGGATTTGTTTACTATCTTTGGATAAATGTGCAACATAGTGAATAAGTGAACTTGACTTTTTTCTTGGTGATATGAAACTGTTTTAATATTAAACTTTTATACAAAGAAGTCCATACAGTTTATTACAGTGACCTTTTTATTTCTTGTTGTTTTTTTTTTTATGTTCTACCCTTCTTGCAAAAAGGTCATAGAGGCCAGCCATATACCTACGATACCAAGGTAAAAAACTTTATTCAGTGGATTAAAACAAAGACCGATTCTGGGGAAATGAAGAATACTGTTATTGGTGGATATTACCCCTATCCACCAGTGCCAGAAACATTTTCCAAGTATAGTAATTCTGTCAAAGGTACTAATGTAATTGCCAGTTTCTTCATGATTTGTTTATATGCTATACATATGGTGTATACTATTTCAAGTAGTCATCTTTATTCTTTTATAGGAGTGAATTCAAGGGTAGCAACACACAATGATGATCATGAGGTCTTACTGTAGACCTAAAAATACATGTTGTGTTTCCTAAAGGTTAAAGTTTAATTTTTATTAGACTGGAAGAAAAGAGAAAATGTAAAAGATAACTGGGGGTAATATTTTGATTTAATGTCGTTGAGAACAGATCTGACTTTGGTAGGTCCCAACTACTATGATACTATACAGAAAGACTAAAGATATTTAAAAGAGACTCTGGGAGATTTAATATGTATATAATGACATCTGTATTATGCTACTCTTGTGAAATGATATATTGTGTATAATGTAATTTAGTGCAACCTTTAAATGAAAATGACAACAGAATCAATGAGTAGCTAAATTATAATTGAAGTACTGATGGGAGGCCTGACATTTACATTTTTAATAGAATTATTATATAACAGTTGAAAATTTTAACATGATCTTGTTCATTTTTAAAAGCTATGAGATGATTGAACAGTTTGGGGAAAACATAAACTTTGCAGAGCTAAACTATCACTATTTAAATATTGGCATCCTCTTATTTATCATAATGTTAGCAATGTTTTATATATGGTTGAAAAATTAAAATGTGTTTTTTATGCAGCAATAGACAACACTTTATACTTTGAAATATGATATATAAATTACATTCAGTATGCAAAATTTCTGTTACAAATGAATACTTCAGACTGGAAGCCTGTATCACAATTTAACTGATAAATTAATTTTGCCTATTTTACAAAAATTACATAAGAGGATGACAAATATAAACACAAAGTCTCACATTTAATGTAGCAAGTTTATAATTTTATGTTATGAAATTATATTGCAAATCTAATTTTTATCGTTTCAGTTCTTTAAAACTTACAATTTCTTTGGAATTACTCTTTTGCAGTTGAGTCGCTCTTGACAGCTATAAGTGAAGTGAGGAAGGAGATTGAAGACTTGCAGTATAGGGAACAAAAGCGCATTGCAATTCAGGGGATAATTACTGTTATAAAGTATATCCCCCATGGCTGTGCAACTGAAAGTGCCTCAGCATCAGAAACACTTCTGGTATGGTGCCAGAGAAAGCACTGTGATCATAATTACAGTTGGTACCTTGTACATTATATATTGACTCTTAATGATGTAAACCTCATAGAGAAATCTTACTTGAGCATTTTGTTTGTTTCTTTTTTTCATCATTTATTTTGTGGTAGATGGAGATAATGGTCACAGCCTCTGACATTTCCCAAGGCCCTCAAAACTTGTTTTTTGCTTTCTGCATAATTTGAGCCTATCATGAATATCTTAAACTTCCATTGGTATATATGACTAAATTTGTTTTCTTAATTTTTGTCCAGGCCAAAATTACAAGAAGTCTTCCACAGAAAGTTTTTACCTCTGTATCTGACATGATAGTACTTCCTAGGTTTTATAAGAGATAGCAATAACTTTGGTAAAATAAATGATATAGTAAAAGAGGCCAGTTCTGGAATTTAGGCACAATCAAGACAAAATAATTTTCCCACTGAGTTTGATTTTATCTTTTAAAAAACTGTGTCTATGGTTATTGCTATTTATATATAAATAAGCATTTAGACCAGGCACCGTAGTACACACCTATAATCACAGGGACTTTGGAGGATGAGACAAGAGTATTGCAAGCTTGAGGCCAGCCTCAAGCTTAGCAAGACCCTCAACAATTTAGGAAGACCCTGTCTCAAAATATAAAAAGGACTGAGGATGTAGCTCAGTGTTAAAGCACCTCTGCCCTCAATACCCCCTACCAAAGAAAAATTATTTAGTCAAAATTTTTCAGATATACTACTTAAGAAGACTTTTATCTTCCTCTTTAAAATATTTAATAGCACATAGATTAGATTTCATCATCTTCATAAAAGCAAAATCATAATTATCAAGTTATCATGAATATCAAGTTTTCCCCAACTCTTAAAATGATGAAAACACAGATAAACTAAAATTAAAGTCTTTTAAGAGAGAAATATTTTTTATTAGAGTATTATAGTTTATACATAGTAGTTGGGTTCGTTTTGACAAAATCATATACATGCATCAAATTTGATTTACTTCATTTAGTCCCTGTTCCCCTGCTTTACCTCCCTCTTTTCACCCCCTATTCTCCTGCTCTATTCTGCTGATCTTCATTTTGTTCATTTATTTATTTATATTTGATTGATGCTTTTTACACATACATAAAGATGAAATTTCCTGTGGTATACTTATATATGTACATAATATGATTGTGTAAAATTAATTATTCTGCATTTCTTTCCCCTTCCCATCTCTCCTCCCTCCCTCTCAATCTCCTTCTACTGCACTGACTTTCCCTATATCTTTATGATATCCTACCCATGTCTTTTTTCTCCTTATTTTGCTCTAGCTTCTGCATATGAGAGAAAACATTCAACTCTTGATTTTCTGAGTCTGGCCTATTTTGCTGAGCATAATGTTCTCAAATTTCCATCTATTGACTAGCAAATGCCATAATTTCATTCTTCTTTAGGGTTGAGTTAAACTTTTCTGTGTACATATACCACATTTGCTTAATTAATTCATCTATAGACCAGCACCTGGGCTGATTTGGCTATTGTGAATGGGCACAATTCACATTGATGTAGCCATATCAGTATCATATGATGATTTTAGTTCTTTTGGATAAATATCAAGCATTGAGATAGCTTGGTGATATGGTGGTTCCATTCCTAGTTCTTGAGGAATCTCCCTACTGCTTTCCAGAGTGGTTGTACTAATTTTTAGTCCTACCAACAATGTATATGAATATACATTTTCCCCCCACATTCTTGTCATAATTTTTCATTATTTTTATTCTTAATACTTGCCATTTAGACTGGAGTGAGATGAAATCTCAGTGTAGTTTTTATTTGCATTCCCTTAATTGCTAGAGGTGTTGAACTTCTTTTTTCATATATTTGTTGGACTTTTATGTTTCTTCTTTTGAGAAATATATGTTTAGTTCTTTTGCCCATTTATTGATTGAATAGTTTTTTGGTGTTAAGTTTTTTTTCAGTTCTTTATATATTCTGAATATTAATACCTTGTTGGAGAAGAATCTGGCAAAGATTTTCTGCTATTCTGTAGGCTCTATCTTTACATTCTTAATTATTTCCTTTACTGTGCAATAATATTTTAATCTGATGGCATCCCACTTATTGATTCTTGGTTTTATGTCTTGAGCTTTCAGTCTTGTTAATGAAGTCAGTGCCTTCACCAATATGATAAGAGTGTTGTCCCTGTGTTTTCTTCTAGCATTTGTAAGATTTCTAGTTTAATTCCTAAGTCTTTGATCCACTTTAATTTGACTTTAATACAGGATGACAGGTATAGATCTAGTTTCATCCATCTACATGTAGATATCCAGTTTTTCTAGCACTCACCTTTTGTTAAAAAGGCTCTTTTCTCTGCTGGGGATGTGGCTCAAGCGGTAGCGCGCTCGCCTGGCATGCGTGCAGCCTGGGTTCGATCCTCAGCACCACATACAAACAAAGATGTTGTGTCCACCGAAAACTAAAAAATAAATATTTAAAAATTCTTTCTCTTCTCTTCTCTTCTCTTCTCTCTCTCTCTCTCTCTCTCTTTCTAAAAAAAAAAGGCTCTTTTCTCCAATGTATGTTTTTGCCACCTTTGTAAAGGATCAGATGAATTATCATGTGAATTTGCCTCTGTGTCTTTTATTCTGTTCCAGTGGTCTTCATATATATATTGATGCCAGTGCCATGCTATTTTTGTTACTATAGCTCTGTAGTATAATTTGAGATCAAGTATTGTGATGCTTCCTGTATCACTTGGTCAGGATTGCTTTGACTATTCTGGTTCTTTTATTCTTCTGAATGAATTTAAGGACTGGTTTTTCTAGTTCTGTGAAGAATAACTTTGGTATTTTGATGGAAATTGTATTGAATCTATATGTTGCTTTTGGTAGTATGGCCATTTTATCAATATTAATTCTGCCTATCCAAGATCATGGGAGGTTTTTCTATCTTCTAAGGTTTGAATCAGTTTCCTTCTTTAGTGTCATATAATTTTCATTGTAGCAGTTCTTAACTCTTTTGTTAGATTGATTCCCAAGTATTTTATTTTGTATCCTGTTAATTTGCTGAATTCATTTGTCAGTCTGGAAGTCTTCTGTTTAAGTTTTATGGGTCTTCTAAATATAGAATCATGTCATCAGCAAACAAAGATAATTTGAATTCTTCTAAAAGATTAATAGTTTTGTGAATTATTTTTAAAATGTTCTCCCTAAATTGTTGGTTTTAGAATGATAACCAACCCTCAACATCTCAAGCAGCTAGAGAAGAAAGTCATAGGCAGGAAAGAGATGGTAAATGGCATCAAGATGACAGGCCTATGAGTCCTCAGTGTTTTCAAAGTACATCTGCAAGTTTGAGTCCCAGCAAGAAAAGAAGAATTCTTCAGGGCCCATATGCTAAACCGTAAGTCACTTGTATCAAGTATGTATATGTAAAGCAAATGATTTTTTGTTTACATATATTCTGTAAAGTAAGCAATTGTGTTAAAAGTCCTATTAACAAAAATACTGCATCTAAGTGGCTTAAACATAGAAATCCTTTGTGTCACTGTTCTGGTGGATAGAATCCAAGATCAAGATCAAAGTGTTGACAGGGTTAAGAATGTATTTTATGCTTTCCTCCAAGCTTCTGCTGGTTTGATGGTAATCTTTGGAATTGTTTAACTTGTATAAATATCACATCAGTCTCTACCTTCATCGTCACATGGTGTTCTCCCTGTGTACATGTCTGTTCAATTTCACCTTTTTATCAGGTCACGAGACATGCTGGATTAGGAGCACACCATCCTCCAGTATAAGTCCATCTTAACTTAACCAGTCACATCTTTAATAATCATACTCCTAAATAAGGTCATGTTTTCAGGTACTGAGGATTAGGAGTTCATCATACAAATTTGGTGGTGGGGGGACACAATTCCATCCTTAACAATCTTTCTGCTTGTTCCCCAAAATTCATGTCCTTCTCTCATGCAAAATATATTCACTCAGTCATAACATCACCCAAATTTTTAACTCATACCAAGATCAATTTTGGTCCAGAATCTTACCTAAATATTATCTAATCTGAGCTCAGTGTTTCATGCCTGTAATCATAGCTATTCAGAAGGCTGAGGCAAGAGAATCACAAGTATAAGTCTATCCCAGACAAGTTTTAGACAAATATCTCAGAATAAAACAAAAAAGCCTTGGGATCTAGCTCAGTGATAGAGTGCTTTCCTGGCATGTGCAAAGTCCTGGATTCAGTCCCCAGCACTGGAAAAATTAATTAATTTATGAAATATATATGTGTGTGATTATATATATTATATGTTATATAATATTATATATAATATTATATATAATATTATATATAATATTAATAAACAGATATTGAGAAATATCTGTTTAGTTCTTTTGCCCATTTATTGATTGAATTGTTTTTTGGTGTTAAGTTTTTTTCAGTTCGTTATATATTCTGGATATTACATATTAAATATATTATGCATATATATTATATATGACATTTAATATATATGCATAATATATGTAATATGTACACATATACATTATATATGTCATTTCTCATTACATATATGTTTATATATTATGCTACATATATATAACTTTTATATGTATAAAAATCTAAATCATATATAGTTGAGACTCAGGGTGATTTATATCCTAGGGCAAAATTCTCCATCTGTAAACCTGGGAAAATGGACAAGTTATCTCTCCAAAATGTAATGATAGGACAGGCATAGGATAGACATTTCCATTCTGAAATGAGAATTTGGAAGGACAAAAGGGATTATGGTTCACAAACAACTCCAAAATTTAGCAGAGAAAATCCCATTATATTTTTATGATTTCAGAATTATCCTCTCTAGTTGGATGCTATGTTCTTTATGCCCACCAAGATAGCCCCATTCCCTCAGCACTGCATGCTGTTCCCCTGGTCTAGAATTAAGGTTATGATTTCACCCTATGGAAATGGAAAGTTAGCCCTGTTCTCTGGAACCTAGGAGTTAGCCCTACCCTCAGGGTCATTCTCCCCTTTTCTTGGAGAATAACACTTATTTGCAGCTAGATATCTCTCTAAGCTCATTTTCTGCCTATAGAATCCCAGAAGTCTGACAGCATTTTTTTCCATCTCATTTCATATATGATCCTTTCAGTGTAGTCTGTCAGCCCTTTCTGCTTTGATGGTTGATTGGATCCATAAGTAACAAACCTAATCTCTTGAACAAATGTTTTTCTGTATGCACCTGTAGTGATGTCTACAGAGCAAGCTTTCTCATTGTTTTCAATATTGATAGTCTGATGATTTTGTAGATCTTCATATTCTGGGTTCTTTTTACTTGGCAATTTCCCTTTCAACTGATTTTTCTCTTCTTATATTTTAATGTACAGTAAGGAAAAACAAGGCCATAACGTCAACACATTGCTTTAAAAAAATCTCCTCAGCTAAATATATAGGTTTATCACTTACAAGTTCAACATTCCATCTAAACCAAATGCGATTTGATTCAGTCCTTTGCCACACAGTATAAGGCTCACCTTTCTAATAATACTTTCCTTATTTATCTCTGAAACATCACCAAAAGCACAGTTTGCATTCATATTTCTAACTGCATTCTGTTTGTGATGAGATATGTATTGTCTAAGATGACAGGAGCTTTCTCTCTGCAGTTCTTTCTGAGTCCTTGCAAAATCCTCCTTTAAAGTTCGTATTTCTATGAATGTCTCTTTAAGGCAGTCTAGGCCTTTTCTATATGCCCTTCAAAGTTCTTTCAGCTTTCACTTGAAATCTAATTTAAAGCTACCTTCACATTTTAAGGTATTCGTTACAACAGCAATTATACTTATCAGTACTAAAATATGTATTCATTTGCTAGGGTTGCTAAAACAGAATACAACAGACTGGATGACTTAAATGGAAGAAATGTATTATCTTACAGTTTGAGAGGCTAAATACCATAGGTCAGGTTTTTAGTAGTGTTGGTTTCTACTGAGGATTGTGAGAAATAATCTGTTCAGGTGATTTTTCTGGCAACTTTTGGTCCTTTCTTTTGGCTTACAGAAGCATCATTTCTGTCTCCACATGGACTTTTCCATGTATGCTTGTCTGTATCCAAATTTCTGCTTTCTATAAGGACATCAGTCATACAGAATTAGGCGTCCACCTACTGCAGTATGTTCTCTTCTTAAATCAACTAAATTACATTTGCAGTAACCCTATATCCAAATAAAATCACATATGGGATATTAGTGGTTAGGAATTCAACATATGAATTGGAGGGAATGAACACAATTTAACTTATAGCAGGTGCCATCTTATATGGCCATGCTCAGCATGGACTAATTTGAAAGAGTTTAAGCAGGTACTAACTTTTAAAAAATATATATGTTTATATTATTTTGAATTTTATTTTAATTTAATATATTATAGCTTACATGTTTTACCAATTTTTCAATCACAGGTCTTACCTATGTAAGGTGCAACTATTATAAATTGTAGATGATCAACATTTTCAGTTTCTTTGAAGTGTCAGGAATACAAAGATAATTATAAAGCAGACTACAGAATCATTTTAGATTTTAAGATTTTTCAACCTCTAGTCTGTGCCAAAAACCAAGTAGCAACCTTGATAGATTGACTTATTATTTCTAAAAGTTTTTAGGATTATTGTGGATTTTCAATGATTTTTTTTATTTTCATGTAATCAGCAAATGATAGTAGTTTATTTCTTCTTTTCTAATAATTTTGCCTTTTATTTCCTTTTCTTGCATTATTGTACTGTTTACAACCTCTAGTACAACATTGAACATAATTGATCAAAGATAAAGAGCATCTTTGTCTTATTTCTGAACTCAAATTTCTCAAGATTTTACCATGTAGGAATTTGGTGAATAAATTTAAAAGATAAAGTAAATTCCCTTTCAATCCTAGAAGCTAAAATTTTCTTATAATTCTAAGATGAATTTTACCAAATGTTTATTCTGATTCTATTTATCTATTAATTTTTACCATTTATTCTTGTCACATAGTTAATTACACTCATTAATTTCTTGAATATTAAATCATTTACACATTTTTATAATTTTACTTGCTTATGATATATTGCCTTTGTTATATATCAGTGGACTTGATTTTTCAATAGTTTGGTTAGCATTTTAGTACCCACGTTTATGATGAAAATGTCTATAAATTTTTTACTCATGATATTTTTGTCAGGGCTATAAATCAAGTTTATGCTGGCCACATTAAAAATAATAGGAAGAAGAATTATTCTCTGGAAGAGAATGTGTAATATTGGTATTATTTCTTCCTCAAATGTTCAGATGGATTCTAGTTAAGCCATTAGGGTCTAAGGTTTTCACTGGGGAAAGAAATTCAATTCCTTTAGTAGATTTTGGAATATTCATATTTTCTATTTCTTTGGCAGTTTTGTTTTTCAAAAGAATTCAATGTTCACATCTAAATTGTAGTACTTGTTGTTATAAAATTGTTCATATAAGTTCAAGGGTTCTGCAGATCTCGGAGATTTGATAATATACTAGGATAATTCACAGAACTCAGGAAATCACTGAACTTAACAATCACTGTTTTATTAATAAAGACTGATCAGGAATAGCCAAATTTTAAAACACATAGGACACAGACTGTGAAGGAATGTAGAGCTTCTGTGCCCTTTCTTTATGTAATACAGGCATGTTGTTCTATTGGCATATCAATGTGTTCACAGATCATAGAGCTCCATCAAGCCTTGTTACCCAGATTTTTGTTTTGTATTGTTTGTATTTAATTATCTAGGCATGATAAATTGATTCATTGACTATGTGAGTGAAGTAAATATCCATCTATCCTCCCTTCCCAGGAGGTCTGAGCTAGCTCTGTGCTCCAACTCACAGATTACTTGCTTGGTCTTTCTGGAGACAAGCCCCAATCCTGAAACTATCCAGGGACACACTAGAGTCAACTCATTAGCATAAAAAGGTACTCCTATCACTTAGAAATTCCAAACATGTTTGAAACTGTGCAAGAAAAAAATACGAAATATAACCTTTACCATGGTTCTATAACCACAGTTCTTAAGTTCAGCTATTCTGATTTTTGTTTCTAAGAAGCCCACTTGCTTCTTTTTCTAAATATTTACTGTTGAGATTCTGTATCTGCTTTGTCCATCTTTTCCTGTTTTCTTGAATGTATTAATCAGACCATTTGAAATCATGACCTGTTAACTCTAATATGTAGATTAACTATTGGTACCATAACAGTATTTAGGAGCTTATATACACCAACAATTTAATTCTAATGATAGATAGTCAACTTAAGGGCTACTGAGTGTTCTATGTTAGATTTTAAAATATAGTAAAAATCCAATAAATTATAATAAGTGGGTCATTGAAACCTCTTTTTTAATTCTATTTAATATATTTACTCTATAAACAGAGAAAGTGAACCATACCAAGGTTAGGTGAACTCTTAAAAATCATTTTCAGCATCTCCTAAGGAAAACACACTGTAGGAAAGATTTTTTTAATGGTTGTTGCCTGGAAGTCATTTGCTAATTTGAATTAAGGATTACTGACTGGGCTGTGGATGTAGCATAGTGGTAAAGTGCTTTTTTAGCATGCATGCAGTCCTGGGTTCAATCCCCAGCACTGAAAAAAAAAAAACCAAGGATTATAACATTTTTGATCATTATAAACTTTCTAATTTGCTTATATTAGCAACTTAACAAAAAAAGACATGTGAAATGTCTTCTGCTTTTTTTTTTTTTAGGAAGAAGATACTGAAAACATTCCTTCAGTTCATTATATAGAGCATTTCAATAGACAATGCAAGATCAGTTACATTACCTCATTTGATCCTCAACTTTCCTGTGAGGGAGAAGCAAGATAATTATCTCAATTGTACAGATTAGGAATTTTAGGATCGTAAAGGATAAAATATAGCATTTATGCATGTTTATATATTAAATACCTTTAATTTCATTGCATTAAAGATCATTTATAAGTTTACAATAATACTAACTATAATTCTGTTAAATAGGATGAGGAAATGGCATACTATAGGATCTAAATTTCTTATCTGAAGTCAATAAATTGATAATAAAGGCAAGATTATAGTGTAATTTAGAGCCCCGACATAATTTTTATAATATTCTGCCACTATGCACCATATACATCTTTATCTTCTCTTCTTTTAGCCCTGTTTACCCTTTTTATACTCAGTTATCCTTTCATTCTTGTTTTCATCTTTTTTCCAGTTTCTTCAGTTGATATACACAGATACCGCTTCTCACATTTAACTGTTTACCAAGTTCTTGGGATGAATGATTATATATTCCAGTGAGAATCTCTTCAACCACTTCTTTAAAATTCCATATAATGGCAACATTAGAATTTGAAAACTTTTTATCCTCATTTATTTCAGATGAAATAAAATCATGTTATAATCACCCTTTTAAAGAAATATGTACATATGCTTAAGGATCTCAAAATACGTGCAATTTAATAATTTATTTTTAATTATTTAGACTTCTCTTAGGGTTTATGTTTTTGTTTACTAATTTCTAGAAATAACCATGTTTTCATTAGCAAAAAAAATTTTTTTATTTATTTTTTACATACAGCTGAAAAAATTTTAAAACTCAACTGTAAAATATATTTTTACTTGCAGACTTTTATAGTTAAATGATTCTTTCTTCCTTCACTAACACTACTTCTTTTTGGTTCATTAATAACTGACTAGCAGAATTAATAATACTATTATAGGAGATAAATCTGTTGATTAATTAAGTTGAGCAATGTGATGTGGTATTTTACAATATGACATTTCTGTTTCACTTTATGCTTTTAATTTTGGAAATGCAACAATTGGAAAAATCTCAGCAATATTGCAAAAAAGCTCATAAGGTAAAATTTTCCTTAGAAAAGCATGATTCTCCTTAGCTTCAAAATAAGATGATTCCCCTTTCATTCACTCATTTCAGTTCAATGAATAGTTAGTGAGGTAGATACAAAAACAAAATAAAGTCTATACTGTTGTAGAAAGCTTGGTCTTATGTAAGGTATAGATTTATAAACCTATAATTTCAATACAGTGTAATGCATGCTATATTAGAAGTCTATTCATTGTACTATAACAGCATGTACAAGGTGCAGTTAGCCATGACTAGAGATCAGAGGAGGCATCTTAAAGCCTGAGCTAAATATTGAAGGATAAATAGGAGTTAACAAGACAAAAGGGGTATAGGATTTTTCCATATGGAAAGAAAAGCACAAAAGTTTGAAGGACCATTAAAAACACAATGAAACAAAGTTTCAGAAACAGGCAAGGTTGTTTTTCAGAATTGTTGAACAAAGCAAACATGAGAATGAAAATATTTTCATCTTTATTTGAAATTTAATAAAGTCAAATGCTCCCTCAAATGGAATACTCCTTAGAAGAAAATTTAAGTTTATTTCAGTATTTAAATGATATTATGTATGGATATTTTCATAATTATATCCACATTCATATTTAATGCATTACTTTAAGAAACAACCTGCATATTTTCTACATTTATTGAATTGAAATAAATTTTGAATAGAACCGCTAAGATTTTTTGTTCCCATTTGTGTCACTTTTTTAAACTATTGTTTATTTTATTTTGATTCTTTGTAGAGTTGCTGTACCTCAGCCAGAGGTTTTGGCACAAACAAAAGGAAATAAGCCTGGCACGTCAAGCTTCTTCCAACGTATGTTGTTATTATTTATTTTTATTATTTATGAAACCTATATGGAACAATTATATGTATCTTACTGTTTGATTTGATTTTGCCTTGTTGTGTCATACTTGCTACTAGGAAAACATAAGTGGTTTATCTTAGCTTAGATCATTGTCAAAAGTACTGATAAATTTTGTGTCATCCCAAAAGTTAAAATAATTATAATAGTATTACTACTGCTGGGAAAGAGGAGTGAAAAACAGAATGGCTAACAGGTACAGGGGGTGCAGTAGAAATGTGGTAGAGATTTTCTCAGAACAAAGGAAAGATAACATGGTGCCATCAGTATCAATGTGAGCCTTCCACAACTCAGTTGTAACATTGTTGGTATAGTATTTCTATACTATAGTATAGAAATAAAATGTCCAACTAGGATGTGCATTACCTTATATGGGAAACAAAGAACTAGTATATAAAAGGAAACTAACAAAAATATATAAAGCTAGGCCTCCTTACACTAAATGCTCAGCCTTTGAATAAGAATGCTCTGAGTCTGTGTAGGCACAGATAAACATTGCTTCCTGCTCAATGCCCTGGTGTCCTGTGTCTCTGTGCAAAAGTCCTGCAACAGGATAAGAGGAATAACTTCTAATAGTCCATGGAACAGTGATGTAAGTATGGTTTACATTTAATTGTATATTTTAAAATAACTAGTAGAGATTTTTAATGACTCAACACAAATGATAAATGTTTGAGGTGATAGATATGCCAATTACCTTGACCTGATTATTACTTATTAAAACACTCCACTGTACCCCATAAATTTGTATAACGATATGTGAATTAAATTCTTAAAATATTTTTTAAAACAAGTGGTTAGGCTATATGAACAGCCACCATGTATTAAAATGATAAAATATGAAAAAAAACATAACCTTAAACAGAAATGCTATTTGAGAGGGACTCCATTAACCTCTAATAGAAAGCAGAAAATATTGACAAAGCAGAGTTGAAAGTTAGGCTAATCCCCTCAGGAAGCAGCACATGTGTGGTAGACAGGAAAGAAATAGTCAAAATCTTATCAGTCTTGCTTGTGACTATGACCATCATATTTTTGGTGTGGATTCATGGTCCTATCCATTTCTGTGAGTTGATCTTGCAAATAAAATAAATATTAATAAATCTACCTATATTCATAGTATACTATATGCCTAAGTGAGTGTCATTCCAAGAAATAGCAACGTTCTGAAAGTAAAAAATTCCTTAAGTAGGCAATTTGGCACATGATTCTGTCTAGTGCCATTGACTTTGGTAGGAAATTAAATGTTATGTTATTTTAATATTGCCCAACAATGTTGGTTAATGTTCTCCAGTACTGGGGTATTTATTATAAGTTAGAGTTCATCAAAAAGCCTGTAAAATATTTTCCTTGTTAACAAAAGAAATCCATTTATATTTAGCAACATGTATCTTATTGTCCATTTGGAGGTGCTCTTGTACACTCTTAGACTGTAACCAGTGTCAATACAAAATGAAAGCAGTTTTTCTACATGTGGAATATACTTTTTCATTTTAAAAGTGACTCTTATTTGTCTTTGTAGTCCATATTCCTTTTAAAAAATTTCCTACTATCAAATATCTATATCAGGTACAAATTATTTGACATAGTAAATTGGTTAATAGTAGTGATGTTTTTAAAAATGAAAGTAAATACAAACAAATATTGGTTTCTTTGGTGGTAGTATAGCCCTGCAAGTATACTTCTTTTAGTTAACCAAAGAATAACTAATTGTGAAGTTTAATTTTTAATTGAGAATAAATATAAATGAATTTTAAAAGTTTTACTTCCTTTCTTTGCTATTGACTTTGGATTTATTTTATTTTTATTATATTTTATTAGTGCATTATAATTTTACATAGTGGTGGGGCTCACTGTGATTATTCAATATGCATATATATCACAATTTGCTCCATTTCATTTCCCAGTACTTTTTCTTTCTCTCCCCTCCTTCTTTCCTCTGATCCCCTTCCTTTACTCTTCTGGTCTCCCATTTATTTATTTTTTTAATTAGTACATTATAATTACACATGAAAGTGGGATTTACTGTGATATAAAAAAATTAAGATTAAAAACAAAAGTGAGATGAGAGTAAAATACTATAAAAATCTAGTCCAGAGAGTTGATCCCTGTATAAGATCTTATTTGAAACAGATCATCTCTCTGGTTTAGATGTTTTAGCATTTTTATGTCCATCCTTCTTTTTGGTATTATTCTTTTTTTTTTTCATTTCCCACCTAAACAGAGGCAACACCTTCATTTTATTCTATACTCTCATTAAATTTGAAGTCTCAATGAACCTTTCCAAAGTATTTCAATAAAGGTGTTTGTTGATTGTTACGTAATAGGAAATTGTGGTACTTTGAACAATTCTATTGTAAAAATTTTTAGTCTTTCTTTTCTTAAATAATAGCCATCTATACTGGCCTTATCTGTTACATTTATATGCATTAGCTAATGACATTTTTTTCTTATTTCATGTGTCATATTTTAGACAGGCTGTTCACTAAATAATGCTTACTATTTAATTTATTTATTCACTAAAACCAACCAAAATTCTAAACATGAGAATTTTGGTTGGTTTTAGTGAATAAATAAATTAAATAACCTCAGAACTCATGGAGAAAAGGCTATTTTTCACAACTAAGCATAACTTGAGATTTAAAAAGAAAATGTTTCTCAGAAAATGGATCTTACCTGGATTCTAAATTCTAAAAATTAAGGAGAAAACCATAATTGATTTTAGTTTTTTGTTTGTTTGTTTCTACATGTCCAAGAAATTGTCTAAATTCCTGTAATTCCGTTTGTCAGCTGATGATCACACTTCATAAAAACTTCTACATTAACATCTCTGAATCATCCCTTCTGTTTTACCTACAGAAAACAACATGGTACTTTACAAATTTATATAATAATAGTACCAGCCATTGATTGAACATTCATGTGCCAGGCTCTATGCTGAGATTTTGTATTTATATTATTTATCTCATAGGCAGTGATTATTGTAAGTTAATTTCATCTTTTCCCTCCTGTTCCATACTTTTTCTGAAAAAAAATAGCCTATAAGTTTACCATTTGTGTGCTAACTGAAATAAAATAATATAAATGATTAAGTTTTAGACTAGAGAAAGAAGAAACTTAAATAATACTCTGTTGGATTGAAAATAAAAGATTGACTTCTAGCTAATTCTGGTAGATCAAAAAGCCACAAAAGGATCTGGGATCTGGCTATCCCCTCCAAAAAAACATGTAAAACAAAGGAGAAAACATCGTAATACAAATATATAACCAAGTCCAAAATAAGAATGGAAAAACATAAAAGCAACACAAATATAATTTAAATCTAGTAATGAATAGGAACCAAAACTAAAACTGCTCATGGGCATTTCAGAACTAAATAAAGTCCTTAATTTTCATGAGCTAAAGTACAATCAATACATGGAAAGGAGATTCCAGACCACAAGCCTCCTTCATGTGAAGAAGAACCAATATAAAATTGGGAAGTTATGGAAGCCAGAGAAATTATGCCTCTTAGTGTAGGGAATTATTGAAGAGCTTCCCATATTCCCTGGGTACTAGGTAGGGGAAAGTCACCAGTGATAAATTAGAATATCAGATCTATACAGCCTGGAAGTGTGGTCATAATTCACATGACTCAACTGGTGAGGACCATTGAGATAAGGAATTATCTTTTGATATCTGGTCCAGAATCAGTGATATTATGATCTTAAGGTATTGACAAGGGTTAAATGTGAAACTTCCTTGAAGGGAGTTCTTATAAGCTAGGGTGCTTGCAACTTCCATGGAAAATAGCTACAGAAAATTAATTGTGGTTAAAAAATTATAAACTTCCCAAGGAAATGTACTACTTTAAAGCAATGTGATCAGATGTAACACATGAAAGAATTTATACTTCAGAAACTGGAAATAGACTGATCAAGGGATTGAGGCCAGGACAGATACCAAAATTTTTGGATGCTCAAGTTTTATATAATAAGTAGTTTTTGCATATAACCTTCACACATCTTCCCATATACTTTAAATCATTTATATATCACTTATGATATCTAAGTGAATAGTTATTATGCAGTATTATATAGAGAACAATATCAAGGAGAAAAGTCTGTACATGTTCAATACAGATGCAGTTGTTTTTCAGATATTTTCAATCCAATGTTGAATGAATCTACTATTATAGAACCTACAAAGAGAGGGAGAGAGCAGCCTGTTTCATTTGTGGTTGCTCTGAGGATTAACTATAACATTCTAAGTTTATAACAATGTAGTTTGAATTTATAGCAACTTAATTCCAATAGCATAGGACTGTGCTCCTCCTGTACAGCTCTCCCTACCCTGCACAGTTTATGTTGTTGTCAGCACAGATTGTATTTACACATTCTATGCCCTATAACATATATTTATAGTTATGTTTTATACATGTTTGTTTTAATATAGAAAATAAAAAGTAGAGTTACAAACTAAAATATGAAAATGTTAATTTTATATTTATTTCATCATTTAACTTCAGTTTACTGCCTAGTATCCTTTATTTCAATCTGAAGGACTCTAACTTTAGCACTTCTTGCAGGATAAGTGGATGGTAACAAATTCCCTCAGCTGCTGTTCATCTTAAAACATCTCAATTTCTTCCTCATTTTTGAAAGGAAGTTTTGCTACATATAGAATCCTTATTTGACTTTTTTTCAGAACTCTGAAAATATCATCTCATTGCCTTTTGGCCCTCTGGTAACTGATGAGAAATCTGCTGTTAAACACATTGAGACTCTTGCACTTGACAAATTGCTTCTCTTTTGCTGTTTCCGTGTTTCTTTGTCTTTTGACAATTACGTTATAATCTGAATCATTTTAGGTCTCCTTGAGTTTATCCTAGTTGGAGTTTTCTGGAAGTGTTGATTCATATGTCTTTTGAAATTTGAGAAGTTTTGAGTCATTATTTGAAGAAATAATGACT